CTTTTTTTTTTTTTTTTTTTGCACCCAATAATTTTTCCTCCTTTCCCCCAAATTTTTTCCTTCATACTTTACACCAATACTGAGCACATATTATCCGTATGTTCAATGACACGTAAACGATAAAAAAAATGAAAAGTTGTGAATAAGTTTCCATCTATACGCCTATCATCAGACTAACCAAAAGATAGATAAAATAAATAAAAAAAAAAACAGTTAATCAGGAACAAGCAGAGAAAAAAGACGTTAAATTTGAAACTGTCACTTTTGTGCTTTTGTTACTAATTCCTTGTAATTTTTTGCACCTTTGAAAAATGTTACAACATATTTGTTCTGCCGTTAATTAAAAACCAAAAAAATAAAGAAAACGCAAAAAAAAAGGGTAAAATAAATTTGAGATATTTTTTAAAATAACATTACAGATATTTGGAAATCATTATATTTTGATTCAACTAAATTTTAAATTTTTGTTGCTATTTTATTGGGGTGTTCATTTTAAATCTATCATTTTAACTTCAATAATTAATCATTCGCAGTAAGGAAACTTAAAAGATTAAAAGCAAAAAAATTCAGTGATACAATAAGAAAAGGACAAACGGTTTAAAAATGTTAATGTTATCATTTCTTTAGTTTTTTTTTTTGTCCATTGTTTCAACTTTTTTCCTCCTCATTCCATTCGTCTTCCCCTTATTTTCCTATTCTTTTCCTATTGTCTTCTTCTCCAGTTATTTTTTTGCCTTCTTAACATATACTACTTTACTGCTTAATCTGTTCATGTGAATAACTATTAAATAGTGGTTTGGTAGAAGAAAAATCTGTAGTTTCCTTTTGTCGTAGAAATGATAGAACTGTACATGGTAATGAACAGAAGAAAAAATAATTTAACTAACTAAAGCAGAAACCAAATAAGACTGCTGTCGTTGTTGCTGTTTTTTGGTGGCATAACCTACATAAAATGGCCCAAAAGGAAAAGTCATCAGCAGGAAAAAAATGAATGAATGAATGAATAAATGAATAAATGAATGAATGAATAAGTAAACAAATAGAATTAAAAGCACTCGAAATATAAAGTGTCAATGACAAATACTACTACTAAAAAGCATTTTAGCGTTAGACATTAAAGCAGTGATTATTATATTGATGTTCAAGAGCGAATCTGTTCACCCTTGTACTTATCGCCAAAAAACATTTAGCCATCTGGGTGACCAGGAGATGATGGTGAAGATGAAGAAAACAAACTGTGTTCTTTCTTGTCTTCCTTTATTTTCATTTTTTTACCTTCACTTTTATGCAAAAAAAATTTGCAACTATTCAGCACTTGGAGGAAAATTTTTTTGCAGGAAAAATTTGACCGAAGATATGCCATAGTCTTTCAATTATTTTGGTTTATCAATAATCAAGTTTCCATTTTTTGTTGAAAAATCGGCAATCAATTTAGATGACCGTTCACAGATTGTTAAATGCTGGTTAGATGTTCAACTAATGATTAATTTTTGGATTTGTTACAGTGCAAAACACAAGAAAGAAACAAGTTTACAAAACATATAAAATGTAATTCCTTTGGTGGCCTTACTTAATTTGTTATAAAAAAAAAATCCTTCTTAAACAATTTTATGCAACTGCTGTTTAGCATCAGAGTTTATCAGATGAACTGAAGATTAAAAACTAAACGTTTTGTTAAATTTGTTTCTAGTTTGTTGTCAATTATTCTCTTCAATTTTTGTTCTGCTATCAAACAATTTATTTTCCTTTACAGTTTCTTCCGACTTTAATCCCCTAAACTTTTTTTCAATGATTGTAAAATGCATTCATTCATCCTTTAGGTTTCTTTGACTGAAAAAATGAACAAACAACAAACAACACAAACTTCTAATAGCATCTATCTTTAAGCAATAATTTAAGTAGTGTTATAGCTTAAAATTTTCAGACAACAACTGGAATAAAGAAAGAAGATACAACTTTTTTTGAGCCGTAAAAGCAGAATATGCTAAAAGCATCAAAAATCGCTTAAACTTTTTAATAAACTGTTAAGTAATACAAAAGGCACGCTTTTTTTTCCCTTCCATTTAGCCTCTTTTTTTTTTTTTTTTTTTCACTTGTTAGATCTAAAAAAGGCAACGTTATAACAGAAATTAATGGCAGTAAAATTTTTGCTCATTTCATCAATAAAAAAAAAAAAAA